GACACACGTGCACCAGGTTGATTCTGCCTGACGTAGATGCTAGTCTCTAAGATTAAGCCATGCATGTTTCCGCAATCAGGGACGAATAGCTCAGTAAAACTGCGATGATTTAGTCTGGCTGTGTAGATAACTACGTGAAAATGTAGCTAAGGGAAGGCAGAATAAGACGCAGGACTATCAGTTAGTTGGTAGTGTAATGGACTACCAAGACAGTGACGGTTGACGGGAAATTAGGGTTTTGTACCGGAGAGGGAGCCTGAGAGATTGCTCCCACGTCCAAGGACGGCAGCAGGCGCGAAAATTGCCCACTCTTTGCAGGAGGCAGTTATGAGACGTGAAGATGAGTATCTTGTAAAGAGGGATAGGAGAATTGGAGGGCAAGTTTGGTGCCAGCAGCCGCGGTAATACCGACTCCAAGAGTGTGTATGAGAGATGCTGCAGTTAAAAAGTCCGTAGTCATAGAAGGGCAAAGAGAGATGCGAGGTCTCACAGTGCGATGATGGAGGAGCCGATGGGGAACATAGTATACCAGGGCGAGAGATGAAATGCCAAGACCCCTGGTGGACTGAGCGAGGCGAAGGCGATGTTCTTGTAGGCATTCGGTGATCAAGGACGAAGGCTGGAGTATCGAAAGTGATTAGATACCGCAGTAGTTCCAGCAGTAAAAGATGCCGACATGCTCATTGGACACAGTGGGCAGGGAGAAATCTTAAGAGTTCGGGCTCTGGGGATAGTATGCTCGCAAGGGTGAAAATTAAAGAAATTGACGGAGCTACACCACAAGGAGTGGATTGTGCGGCTTAATTTGACTCAACGCGAGGAAACTTACCAGGGCCAAGTATTGTGTAGAAACGAGCAATACAGGAGTGGTGCATGGTCGTTGGAAATTGATGGGATGACTTTGACCTTAAATGGTTGAATGAGTGAGATCTTTTGGACATGTTCCGCACGGAACAGGAAGGAAAAGGCTATAACAGATCCGAGATGCCCTCAGATGCCCTGGGCTGCACGCGCAATACAATAGCAGGTAGAGAGAGAGACAGGAAGGTGCTCAGATGGACTATGTGCTGTAAGGCACATACGAAAGAGGAATTCCTAGTAAGTGTGTATCAACAATGGATATTGAATAAGTCCCTGTAGCTTGTACACACCGCCCGTCACTATCTCAGATGTTTTTCAGGATGAAGAGTCCAGGCTCTGAATAATGAAAAGTAGATAAGATGTAAGTCGTAACAAGGTTGCGGTCGGTGAACCAGCCGCAGGATCATTGAAAACTATTCTGCCGCTCTGTTTACACTTTCCACGAGCCTCATTGGATAAAGACTGAGAGAAATCCCATTTTTCTAGCACCGTCTCTAACTTTTGATATAATCAATACTAGAAAATTTGTTGATGTTCATCCAGAATCTTTTTATCTTCTTTCTGATTTGTCTTGCAGTGCGCATCTTACACAATTCTTGATGGTCTGACTCTCAGCACATGAAAGTAGTTGCTTCACAAAGTTGTTCTATACCACCGTTCTACATACGTTTTAGGTTATTACCTCGATGAGTCTTTTTATTCAATGGGACAACTATTGGGATGGCCTTGCAATTGAGCTCCACCAATCTATTGTGTTACTTATTTTTCTATAGTATACTTTTGTTTTAATAAAGAAATTATTTGCCAGTTTTTTGATCTAAGAAAACATTATTTAATATTTTATACATCCACTTTTGATCATAATTAAAGATTTCACACTTCTGCTCATATTACAGCAACGATTTTGCAACTAACATGCATTGTATCATTTATCTTTTGCAAACTATCTTTTTGGATTCTAGTACATTGGTAGACCATATTGATCTTGATGCCAATCTAGTACAAATCATTTTTAAAATATTTAATATGGCATATCTGGAGTAGAAAGTTGTAAAAACACATCCATGGGATTGGCAAATATTTAATGTATTTAGATATTTGCTTGTATCATTGGTGAATGTCAACATAATCATAAGAAAGTTCACGCATGTCAAAAAGCATGCAAATCCATCTATGTGAATATAGCTTGTTAATATTCTTATTCCTTTATGCTTCAACTTTTGATTTTGCTATGAGTTATTGCTGTCTTGCTTAGCTATTTGAGTCTATGGTGAATAGGAGTTGTAAAATCGGAAGATGCCGCCACATATAATTGTAATTATTTGTGCCATGATTATTAAGCTTGTTTGTGTTCGAAGATATTATCCATTTTCTGAAACTTTTTCAATATTTTTCTTATAAACTTTTGAAAATATCTTTTAATTTAAAATGTAGTGCACTCCTGGTGATATGATTAGAGGAATTCATATCATACTTGTTAAATAAGCTCCTACTAATCTCAATAGAAGATGTAACAAACAGTAGCTTTTTGAACAACAATTTTTAGCTTATCTACGTATTTAGATAAGTTTTGTTAGAAATAAAAACGTAATGGTCTTGGTTAGATTATAAGGATTTTGTTGGACTGTACCATCTGACAACTTTATAATTAAAAATTCTATTCGACAACCTTTACATACTGTGTAGAGTAATATTTTCCATGGATGACCAATATACTTTTCTTATAAGGAAAGACTATTAAATTAGGAATACACTTGCTAATAGGTATAGATAGATTATGCTAACTTTTCAATTCTTTCGATTAAAATTTTTGAAAATTGAATTTTGGTATTCCTTCAAAAATACATGAAAGGATATCAAAATTCAATTTTCAAAAATGTCTTCTTATAAGCTTGGCATTTTCATTACAGTTTTTAAAGGATCCAAATCCATTAGGCCTTTTAACGTTTTTGATGCTATTTTGTTTTTATTAATCATGCAATCCACATGTAAGCCTCTGTTTGTTCATTTGTGCTTTGAAGTATGAAAACGCATCACAATATCATTTATTGTGAATTTACTTTGTGCGATAGGATGGTCTCGAACAAATGAAATTTTTGGATTTGGAAATACACGCGTTCATTGACGTATGTTCCAAATTAAGAGGGTTTGCGGTCATGTGTGGATTTTTCAAGTTTATTCATTTAAGAAAATTGGACACGATCTATCGGCCGACCAATAACCATTTGCTATGAAGTTAAACTTCGTCGGAAAAAATTTGAGATTGATGAATATTTGAGATATTACAATATTTTAAAGATAACAAGTAATTTTATATGGAAATTGTTGAAAATGAACGTATCATTATATATTTTCAGAATATGATATGTCTTGGAGGCGTGATCATTTAATGGGAATCAACATATAAGAGAGTGATTTTGTAATAATGCATAC